TAAGTTTAAATCAAGTTCTTTATGAAATTCTTTCAATACACGTGAGGATCCATAAAGAAGCAGGTTTATCTCATACAAGAGGGAATTACCCATTGAATGATGGAATTAGACGACATGGCGCCCAACGTGGGGCTCCAATGTCCGAAAAGCCAAAGGAATGTGATGAAGACAAGTTCTTTACGTACAAAACTGCAATTGTTGGACAAAAGCAAATGCTCTATAGTCCGCTCTTCCTATTTTACCTGTCCGTCTCTCATTATACACCGATGTCGCGGCTCGCCGTATACCAACAGGAGAGTAACGAGTCCTCGAAGCCTTTTTGCGATCGTCTCAACGAGCCCTCAAGATTCGGCGGGTCGGAGCAGCTGCAATAATCCGTCGAGTGTCATTGTGATCTAGAATATAGGGATTGCTTAGCGTTCGCGGTTATCCCGCATCTAAAAATTAGTCGCGCTCCGGTTTTCGAACGGAGCCGGAAATATTCTGTCCTGGTAAAGCGCCTTGAGTGCCCCTTGAATAATGAAAACGCTCGAGGAAATACCTTTTCAGAGACAATTGAATTAAAATTACACGAGGGGTAACGATAACTTTTGGAGTGACGTAATTATTTCAAGTTTGTATCAAAAATAAAAAATATATATATTCACTCGAAACTACTACAAGATTTTATAAAAGAGGGAAATATTTTTTACAAACATACACCTTCAGTTGCTTGCGCGTTCGCATTTTTTAAAAATTTTCTTTACCAAATAAGTTGCAAAACGTAAATTTAGACAAGTTCGCGTTAGAGTTTGCAATTTAACGCCGGGATTCGCACTGGATCGTAAATAACGCTTATTCGATACCCTTCCCTACGCACCTGTTGTCCAGAGAGCGTAAGCCCTTCGGTGCAATCCTCCTTCAGAGCCTCTCCAGCTAGCTGTAAGCTCGGCATTATTTCGAAACATCGATTTCGAGGGCACTGAGGCGAAATGTACGGAACTGCTTCAAGTGTAGTTTGATCCGCGATGCGATAAGTTCAATTTGTACGTAAGCGATCAATTGCTACCTGGAAATTCAGCTTCAGCTTAATTAGCCACTCCGGTGCGGCTCATCAATTACCCGCGGCTCGAATTTCGCTCCCTCCTCGTTAAATAAAATCGAAACATGCAGTTTCTATGCTCGGGTTGGTTTTGTACGTCTGAGTTCCTCGACGGGCTTTGCAAATAAGCACGAAGTAGAACACGGTTTAAATTTTAAAAAAGAAAACTTAAAAGTACTTACTAATAAGCATCTGATTATTAGGCAAGAAAAGAGTATTTTCGTGTACACCATGGCACAAATAAACCCTACGTTAGTCAGCTTTTATCGATACATTGTTAAAACATCTACTTACAATTTTTTTATACAGGCTGTTACAAATTCGCTTCTCACTACAGGGATCTCGGAAACGGTAAGAGATAAGAAGTAGCTTAAATGGGGGCAAGGTTGCATAATCAAAATCAAGGCTAATATGATTAGTTTTCGAAATATTTGAAAAAAAACTAAATTTTGGGAATCCGTTTTCGTTTCATTTCGGCCTTGTTTGAGGTAATTTGTGACGGTAATAGTTTAAACAACTAGGTGGATTTCACAGGATCTAACGAAATGTTCCAAAAAGTTTTTGATCCTTTATCAATGTCAGGAAAAGGTAGCTTCTATTTCCCCTATATTCACGTACAAGGACCAAAATATTAATAATCCATAATTAATAGTTCTACAGACTTATTCTCTCAATCTCGTATAAAACCGGGTGAATGTTATTTCGTAACAACTACAACAAATGCTAATGTGCTAAATAACGAGCGTTCAAATAAAAACGTGGTCAAGTTGGTTCTGAAAATTTGGACGTAAGGCGTAGCGTATAGCAAATGAACTTAAACGTCATCTGTCAAAGCGCTATATCGCCGCTATCAATTTGAATATTTTCGTTTTAAAAAGCGTTTAAAAAGGTTGTTTTCTCAAGAACAAAAAGTGTTTATCATAGAGTCCTACTTTAGAAATTGGCGCAAGATTGATGGAATATGGAAGTATTCTATTGAGGAATGTTTCATAGAATTTCAAAATCAATTTCCCGGCGTTGTTGAGTACCTACAAAATTTTTCAAAGTGCAGTTCAGCGTTGTGTTAATGTTTTTCGTGAAACGGGCAGTGTAACAAGAAAAGAAGGAGGCGGCCGACCTAAAAAGCGGACTGAAGAATTAAAAGAAAATGTCCAACAAATAATGGAAAATGCGCCAAGAACTTCTGTACGTGTTTTATCACAAATGGTGGGAGTATCAGTCGGTACCTGCCACACAGTGTTAAAAAAAGATTTGCGTTTCTTCTCCTATCGTTTAACTTGTCAGCAAGAACTTCATGAAGTTGATTTTCCGCGACGGGCTGTATTTTGTGAATGGTTTTTAAACAACTACGGTGCACTTCATAATATCACCTTTTTTTCTGATGAAGCCTGGTTTCATTTAAGTGGTTACGTAAACTCGCAGAATATGAGAATGTGGTCTTCTGAAAAACCAGATAACTTTTTTGTCGAGGGCCCTCTACACGCTCAAAAAATGGAGTTTGGTGTGCTCTCAATCGAAGGAGGATTTATGGACCTATTTTTTTAATGGTACTCTTACTGCGCAAAGGTATAGAGAAGAAATTATCGTTCCTTTTGTTAACCAGCTGGAAGAAAACGAAATTACAAACTTTTACTTTCAACAAGATGGCGCAAGGGCACATACGGCAGGCGAGACGATGAATATGTTGAGGGAAGTTTTCCAAAATCGACTAATAAGTCTCAATGCTGAACATGAATTTCCACCGAGGTCATGTGATATTACGCCGTGTGATTTCTTTTTGTGGCCTTACCTTAAAAACACTATTTTTGAACTGCCTATTCCTGATTTAAACCATCTGCAGGCTCGACTTATAGACAAGATTCGTGAAATTAACAATACCCCGAGCATCTTAGAAAATGTCTTTAATTCTTTGAGGAACAGGTGTGAAAAGTGCTTGGAACAAGGAGGGGGACACTTTCAGCAGCTGCTTTAATTTATAGTTATAACAAGGAGGGGGGCAGCTCCTTTAATTGTTTGTTATTGTTATCACGATTATTCTTTAAAATAAAGTTATATAGTCATTAACGTTATTGAAACTGACAGCTGTTATACAGCTCGTTGAGAAATGAGGTTAAGTTGGTCGCTATAAGCTACTCCCTACATCCAATGTGTCAGAGCCAACTTCGACCACGTTTTTATTTGAACGCTCGTTATAACATTGCATAGACTTGATTTTAAATAAACGACCTTGGAGTTACATTTGATCCTACTTTATCTTATGCAAAATTAAATGTACCTAATGTAAAAGTATCTTTGAAAGATGTCAATAGCATCTTTGAAAGATGACAGATATCTGGAAAATGAAGGCCGATAAGAAAAAGAAAATGTCTTTTTTCTTAAAATTTGATTCTGATCCAGATCACCATTTTCAAAGAGATCAGTCAATCGTTGACAAAACTGGAGAATTCAAAGTGCTTAACTCAGGCAACTAATTTTTTTTATTCATAAAAGGGGCTGGCTTCGCTGAAAAAATGAGATCTGAAAATGTGAGGTGTGATAATTTTCCATTGAGAAATCTGTTAATTTCGAACGCCATATCCTATAGAAATCACCGGTAAAGGCCGCCTCGTGTCGCTCGTCATTCATTATAATACCAAGTGGATGGAACATCGCCCCCATCGCACGCCCCGAATTTGCCATATTAACGTGGGCCGCAGTTAATTTACCGGTTTCGCTGTGCGCCGCCGAAACCGGAAACCTTTGATGCTTTCATCGAGACCGCAGGATATTTCTTCTAAACAAAGCCGGGCCCTTTGTTCTCCTCTCCCATAAAGGTGATTCGGTTTGACTATTCAACAAATAACTGACTAATGAACCGAATTCATCAGTCAGATTTAATTATGAGAGAGAGGTAGACGATTCTGCCGGACGGACCGCGCAATGCGACAAAGCGGGGGGGGGGGGGGGGCGAGGGACGGGTGGGGCGGCCTGCCCCGAACGCAGGTGGATTTATTCGACCGCTAGGGGACGTTCTGATTTGTGCGAATGTCCCGGTGGGCCGGGGAGGTCTTAATAACGCTTTCATTGTAAATAATACAGGAAACTGGTTGAAGAAAGGGGATTACGGTTCAAGTAACACGGGCTGTCCAGAAATCGATGTGTATATCGGAAAAAGATATTGTTTAAAGTATAAAAGAAAAAGCTTGAAGTGGTATAGATTACAACTAGGACACCTGGACACCAAAAGCTACGCAGAAGTTACACCCTTACTTGTGGATAAAGACACGGCAATTTCCTCGGGTACTGATTTTTTTGGTTACTAACAAGTCTAAGTGATGTGCCTAGTTTGGGACATTACCACAGAAGCCAAACCTCCCTGAGATTTTGCTGGTTACTTTATAAAGCCCTTAAGGATGAAAGGTAAAGCCCAAAAATGGTGGCAGGGACCCCTAGACAAAGGCAAGGCAAGGAATTCTTAAAAGGACCATTGAAGGAGTTGAAGGCAGGTCAATAAAAATAATAGTAAAATTGCTAATCGATACTGCAAATGCAGGAAACATCTAAGTAATATTGGCTTGGTAGGAGACAACCTGTGTAGGTCTTGTTAGAAAGAAAGACAAGAAAAACTGACAGCTATAAGCTCTTTGAAGGAGTCATTATTTAAGCATAGAGCATAAATTAGAAGACTAAAGAGGGATACTTGAATATCTAGACTCTGGTATTCAAAAACATTGTTCGATTTTATTTGATAGAACTTTGTTCGTCCTTAGTTTTAATCCAGCACCCACAGAATCGAAGTAAATCGCTAAAAATTTTTTTTTGTTTCATGTTCCTGTGTAATTGTCCTAATGCAATTCAGGATCTAAACCAATTCGTCGGCCTCCAGCCGAGCATCGACCGAGGAGTATCCGCCTGTCTATCTACTTATGTATCTACCAACCTGCATCGCTGTCCGTCGGGACGCCCAGGCTGTTGGAGTTGTCGTTGATGAAGGCCTCGGCTGAGTTGGTGAAGGTCTGGGGGGACAACGTGAGGTCCGGGCCGCTCGACGAGTCGAACAGGTCGAAGGTGGCCGTGACTGCGTCGCTTCCACCTGGAAATCAAAAAGTCCCTTGAGGTTCGGATGCTGCTGTGTAGGTGGCAGTGGCGGCTCGTGACTGGACGGGCGTACCACCGATTAGTCTTATTAGTTATCTTTTTTATTTAATTAATTGAAGAAAATAGATGCCATACAATGCCATACATTGTAAAAATAAGAGAAATATTATGTATTCAATAAAAAAAAATCCTGGACACATTATTGCACTGTTTTTAAATTCGTCCAAAAATTTATAACCGATATAGGTCTGTTTTATACTGCTTTTAATAGGAAATAATCCTTTCTTGATTAAAATACTAATTGGTATTCAACATGTAACAATAGCAAAAATGAAAAAAAAAAAACTTTTCTCCAATATTTTCTATTTTTTTGGGCCATGTTTGACAGACCTATAACATTTTGTTATTAGTTAAGCAAGGGGGCTACCAACGAACACCAAGGTCACTCCAGGCTACCACCAGACTGTTGCTGCTGGAGATCTGGTGCCAGCTCCGGATGGCGGCAGCCTGGCGGTAGCCTGGAGTGACCTTGAAGTGCGTTGGTAGCCCCCTTGCTTAACTACTTTTGTTGCTTCGTCAGTGAAAATTATGTGATTTTTTAAGTTGCGTTGTCTTTAACATAAATTTCTAATTCCCTCCCAATACTGTAATCTTCTGTCTGTATCATCTGGCCATAGTTCTTGTAAGACATTAACTTTGTAAGGGTGCTACTTTTGAGACTTCAGAGTTCTGTGAACTGAGGACTTCGACAAGTTGAAGTTGTCTTAGATCTAATGGATGAGTGAGGATTTTCAGTAACAGTGAGCAGCATCACATTTTGACGGTCATTTTCGCTTACCGTTCTTCGCCTTCCTGGTTCAAGTAAATCTTTTATACTTACGGTTTCTTCAAACTTTTTGGATACTTTACTCGCCAAAGAACGTAGCACTATCAGATTCCACATGTCATGAAACCCCTGTGTACCAAATTTAGTGATTCTCGTACAACAGGATTCTGTCACAAAAAAAAACGATTCTTAAGGGTGGATTTCAGGGGGCTGTAACTCCGAAAGAGTGAGCCATTTGGCAAAAATAAAAAATACGAGTCCTCTAAATTTGTCTTAAGAATCTATGACCAAATTTTGTTGCATTAATTTCGGGACACCCTGTATATGTGCTATGTTTTTCCAGTACCTTAAATCGATGTCTATAAACTATAACTGTTTCTAACATTTGTTTTCTTGTGATTAATTGAAAAATCTAAGGTACGTAAAAAAAATTGGTATCCGAAACACCCACAACAAATTTAATATTTCTGTCTACCCCCACACACCACTTAAATTCCTAGCCAGTAAAGCGCAAGCGTTTACTTGTACTCCCATTTACGTCCTCGATGACAAAATTAACATCCAGCAAGAAGAGTAATTATCTCGAGCCGTATATATTATTGTGGCAGTTCAAGAAATGGGCGGCGTTAAGTTATTTAATATTTCCAAGCTCAGATGTCGTGTTTTACGGTTATTGCGCCCAGGTTTATTGCAGCTGCAACGTCGTTACTACCTCTGTCATAATCCGCGCAAACCGCTTATTTTAATAATAAAACACAGCGTCGCCCGAGCGGCATAGGGAATTGATAAAGCGAGATTAAGTCGGGACAACTAGTGACGTCGAATTAACGTTGTGGTTCAACCGTACGTGAAAGTTCGTTCTGTACAAGCAAAACTTTGACTTAGCACCATACCTGCAATGTTGGTTGCATACCCCTTCATCTCGGAGATGAAAACGTTGTTCCGCTTTTCGCTCTGCAATTTCATTAAATCCTACTTATATATTTCATAAAAGCTGGCGTTAATTTTATAAAAACGGGAAAAATCCGTCACTTTTAATAAAGTTGAGAACTGGGACTTATCGGTGAAATAACGAAAAAGCTTTTTTCGCGGCCGATCGGTGTTCATAAAATTCTGATGCCTGGGTCCCAAATTGCTGTGCTTTTCCAGTCTGGAGGAGGATTTTATTACAGATAAAAAAAATGTCGAAAGAAATTTCAAGCGTCTACAATGAAATATTCAACGTGCGAAAGAATTTCCCACAATGTAATCGAAATAACCACCGCCGACTGAAACAGGTATGGCAATTTATTAAATTGTGACCTTTATAAAAGATCAATATTTGTTTACTTTTGCGGATAAAGGTATAGTAAATTAAAAAATTAAAATTAAATGTATATCTGCCTCTTGTTTACAACGGAAAAGCCCACATAGTTACAGTCGCTTGTCACAGTTATGTGTAAATATCTGAAGGTAGTTCCCCAGCTCTGTACAGAGTAAAAAACCAATAGCCTGTATCGCCATGTCGAAACGAGGGAATATTAAAAAGTTGTTCCTTAGCAGTATATCAACAATAAAGGTAAAGGTCGACTGGAAACTTTTCCATGCGTGACATTTCGACGGCGACGCCTACAACAATTTTCCACGGCATATTAGTGTGTGGGCGATATAATCAAAACGTTTCGACAGTGGACTCGAGGTGGAACAAACGCCGCGAAGGAAAACATTGACTTTTTTAATTCGCCAAAGTTAGTAGAGAGTAAAAATCTATTGGTTCGTTACCACCTAGATTATAAAGCCTCATTGTTTCGAGAGTGATGTCTCCTCAGACTTTAATACATTTAAATCCTTTTTGTAGTAAAAAGCGACAGTAATGTTCCATGTTAAAAGAAGATTCTATAAAGAGGAAGATTTCAAACTAGTGCTGTTAGGTATAACCATTGATAGTGACGTCAATAGGCAATGGCTGGTCAGAAGTAAGACCTTATACCTAGGAGCTCTTCGTACTTTGTCAATTAGATATTGGCGCAATTACCAAACCGTGTTTATTTTTACGGGCTGGAAAGCTAGGTCCGCTTTGACTTTTCAAGATCAATATTCCCGTGAGCCCGGCGGTACTACTCTGCACATTTAATTAAAACAATCTATATCAATTTCGGTCGGAGTAGTTAAAGGGATTAGTGCTGTTTACGCGCTGATTCGGAATAATTCCGGAAGGTAATTTCGAGCTGTTAGTGCGGAATGTTTCAAGGGTTATACGGCTTATCGAGCATTTATATTGGGTCGCCCCCCGCCCCCCAGCTCGGGCGACTATTATTGCACACGGGGAAATTTCTCCTGGACGTCTCGCATTTCCACCGACTGTTGTACCAATAAGCTTTGGCGATAACTTTTAAGTCGGCTAATATTCAGATATCACAGTATTTAAAATGCAGAAACAGAAATGTACTAATTAATTTAACGCGGTTAGAAGCAAAACTAGGGTGTCTTCGAGGAACTGGTCAGTTTAATTAATATTAACAGAGGCAATGCTTGAACGCCCATTGCGGAAGAAATCCTGGAAATAGCAGAAGAGAATCCGTCAATCAGTGTCAAGTAAAATAGAAACAGAATCGCATGGAATTGTTTTAGCTGGGAGACACCCTGTATATAAATTTTTCGAAACACTCAAATTAGAACTACGTTATTATAATGTAAATCTAAATGTTAAAAAATATCGTGTAAATTCAAATCAGTTAAATGGAAAAAGCCCGTTGTTAATGGATATTCAGTTTTTTTGTCAGCCTCTTAAAAAACCCGACACCTTCCTTCCGGTGTTTCCGTCGTGTTTCGCTCTCTACTAGCGTTATGAAAATTGCAGAACTTCCGCGTGGGGGCAAGTGACGTTAATGTAGTCTCCCAGGATTACCCGGATCGAGGGGATAATTCGAGAGTTTGAAGGAGAGATGATCGGAAACGATTACAACGTGGCGCGGCGCTTAAGAAAATCGCCTGAATAAATAAACGCCCCGGCGAGTTCCTATGACAATTAGCCGCGTCCCCGGGGGAGAACTTATAAATTTTCAATAGAATTTTCGAAGCCGGAACTCCTCCGGCGCTAATAAAGCGTTCGAAAAAAAATTCATTTTGACTTGTTAAAGTCCCAGGTCGGTGTGGTAATTTAATTATTTTTCGGTTTCTATTTCGCAGGCGTTAAAACCTCCCGCGAGTCATCATTAAACAAATTCTATACCTCCATCATGTATAAACCATTATTCCATTCTGAGTTGTAGTGGCACCTCGTCAAGTAGAACCGGGAGAGTGTTTTGGAGAAATTCTAAATAAGTTTCGCCATTTAGTCGATTCGGTAAAATAACTGGACCGATTAAATACCGATCAATAACACCGATCCAAACATGTATTTTAAACTCGCGTTGGAAATGTCGAGGAGTTACTGAATGAGGGTTTACATCAGAATACTCACGATAGTTATGCAAATTTGTAATACCCCTACGGGTGAAACAAGCTTCATCAGTAAAGGGAAGTTTCTTTTGGAAATTAATCCCTTGATGTAAAATAAATTGACAGAAATTCACTCGTTTAACTAAATCATTCAGTAACAATTCTTGGGGTTTTAGGATATGATATGGTGTAGTAGATTACGTCTGATCACTCGGTGCACAGAAGTTTGCGATACACCAGTTTGTCGAGAAAGAATTCTAGTTCAAACATGTGGGTAATCTTCTATTGTATTCAAAATAAATTCTTTTTCTGGTGCTCTGATTGCAATAACACATTCCCGAGTGTTACTAAAAAACTTGCCTGTTTCTCGAACCCGTCTTTCATCATTGGAAAATGTTTCTCAATGGAGGATTACACGATTTGGAAATCTTCTCCGATATTCTTCAACACTTCTGTAGTTTTCTTCACAGAAATTTAACACTAAAGCATGTCAACTTGTTCGCTAAATGAAAACATCCCAAACATTTTCAAAACACTCAGCAAACAATTACTAAAATTAAATGACTTTTTTTCTGATCGTCAAGTTTGACGTTTAAATTCATAGCCAACTTTTAAATTTTCGATGATTTTAATTAAGTAACAGCTACAATACGTATTATAGTACAGTCATTCAAGCTTTTCACCACAGAATTCTTTGAAACTGAACCGATCGACTTGAAATTTGTTAGATAGTTAGAGAAAAGGTCAAT